GAAATATTGAATTTAAGCCGAGTTGTAATTTTTTAATATAAAAAATTGCTTCGTAACTTTCCTCGTAGAGACTTAATGAAAAATGAATGATATCGGCGGCGAAATTTAACGATTTGAAATCAACAAATTTAAGCCAAGTGAAATGAGAGAAATCGAATTCTTGAGCATCAAAAATATCAAGCACTGATATAGAAATAACAAAAAATAATAAAACGTACAAAAAAAAACCTCTAATTTTATAAAGATTCTTTTCTTTAACATTTCTGAAAAAAGAATGTTGGTAGTTAAATTTATAAACCATTGCTGCGATTATCCAAACAATAAATACCCACAATGAAAGGAGGAATGGTAATGCAATTTGTAGATAATAATTTCGATCAAACATTATTATAGTTTGACCAATTACATAAAATGGTATGATTGGGGATAATGAAAATGTTAAGGTAAAAAAATCGTCAAGAAAAAGGTATTACGCCACCCAAATCGAGAGTTAATGCCATATACTGCGACTGTTATTAATGTTCCTCCGTAACTAACAATATTACTAGCTTGAGTTACAAACTGATCATAAATTTGATATTCTGAATAAGCCGCCGGTGGGCATGTATAATTCTCGTCAGGGTATGTGAAAAAGTAAAGGAAGTCATTATTATTATCATCAATACTCAAATTGTCACCAGTATGAGACATTTGTTAGGGCTCTAAATGACTTATGACTTGTAAAAAAAGTTCATACAAAAAGGTTATATATATATATATATATATATATGTTGTAAGTGGAAACGGAATTTAAGTGGATTCGGAATTTATATATAAAACCCCTGTTTTGGGGTTGATTTTATCATGTGTACACCCTAACCCTAACCCTAATTTAACTAGGAAATTCAAAATCCACTATTCCAACTTACAACATATATATCACGTTTATACATTATTCCGAATTGATCATCTATATTCTTGAATTTTCTTACAAGAATCCTTGTTGATCAATAAAATAGCTCTAAATATGGGAAAACCTGACTTCAGACTTTCAATTATATTTTGTGTACAGTCTATTCATTATGATAGATTTTTCATAGACGGCTGGCTAACTTTACACAAAATATAATTGAAAGTCTGAAGTCAGGTTTTCCCTTGGCGGCTCTCATATGTAATAAGTCAATCTTTATTCTTTAGACGGCCCAATATTGGTGAACCAAATTTAAATCTTAAAAATTTACTATGATTCTATGATGTCATCATTGAAGATCATTCATTACATGGTATTGAATTCGATGGTTAATATACCGAGATCGACGACTTGATTTTGCTAGATAACCACATGCAAAAACGTGCTTAATCCAAAAATACAATACGAAGCATACGTATTTTGTTGTTTGTCAACTAAATAAAACAAAACTATATATGGTATCATATAAATAAATTTTTGTGTAACAATTAAATTGCCATGTCAAATATGTAAATTGTGGTATTAGTCAAGATCGATGCTATATAATTTGTATATACCCATTGCTAAGTATATAACAAAAATGGATGCTCAGCTCTAACCGAATCATAATTCAAAGTAATATTTTGAAAGAATTAATATTAAGTCTCTACGAGGAAAGTTACGAAGCAATTTTTTATATTAAAAAATTACAACTCGGCTTAAATTCAATATTTC